TTTCTTCCCTATGATTCTTGTTTCCACATTTCCACATTCAGCGAGGTCTCCTGACAGTGCTGCTTCGTTTGACTGGCTTCCTTTGCTTAGTTCCAGGTGTGCTATTTCTTGATGGTCATTTAGTCCCATGTCCTTTGACCAGAGGGCATATTACTTTTTATCTCTTTTTATATATATGGACAAAGTGTGTTCCTTTTTACTGCCTTGGGTTTCAGGGATTGGGGGGGAGAAGAAACACATAAGCAAGAGGGAACTATTTTTTACTTTAAAGGTGATTTGAGGAGATTCAGAAAATGAGTGATTATAATTTTTATTTCCTGAGTATTTTTACTGTATTCTAGAGGACATCTACATATTCAGTAAACCTTTCTTGTGTTGGATCCAGATTGGTCCTCAGGCCAAATCCACCTGTTTCTGTAAATAAAGTTTTATTGAGAATAGCTACATTCATTCATTTACTTACTGCTTCAGTGTTCCAATGACAGAGTAGTTTCAACAGAGACCCATGATGTGTAAATTATAAAATGTGCTCATTCTTCTCTCAAATTCCTTGAATACATGCTGTGTGCCCACCATAGGTTCTGAGGCAGCATCTGTGAACCAAGTAGATACAGATCTCTGTCCTCAAAGGCAAAGATTTCTAATTTGCAGCTAGAATGGTAAACTCTAGTTGAATCTCAAATTCTGATGCGTGAAGAGACCAGGCATAAGTGAAGCCCATGAGGAGAGGCAATAGAGAGTGGTGAAGAGTGTAGCAAACAGGAGAGAGTATATGCCAGCAGATACTGGCTCATTGTTACTGTAGGACTATGGGCACATTTTTGTTTTTCATGTGACTTTTCTACTTTTTAACCTGTGGGTAATTAATTAAAAAAAATGGGTTGTGATAGTGTGGGCCCTCTGACTTAGGAAGGGGAAAAGGACTATTCTCCAGTAAGTAAATGGACAAGTCTGAGATTTCTTTTGACAGTGTGCTTCAGCAAAGACTCAAAAGGTTAAATCATAGTCCTTTTCTTGCCTCGCATTAAAAAAACGAAAAAGAAGAGGAATCATGTTTAAAAATGAGACACTAGGTGGCGGCGTACTACACAATAAAGGATGTCCTGGGGCTGGCATCTCTGTTCCTAATTAGCAAATGTTTATTTAGTGTTTGCTTTTGAAAGATGTGAGGCTAATGCCAAATGTCCTTGTCTCCACAGGAAAATTAGTGTATGAGCGCATCTTTTCCATGTGTGTGGATAACCGCAGCGTCTTGCCAGGTAACTTCATAATTGTTCAAATGGTTCCATTCTGCCCTGGAGAGGGGATTGCATGTCAGCTTAATGCATTGGGTTATTGAGACCCCCACTAGTTATTGTTGGTGGTTTTATTAGAATTTTTCTTTTCTTTTTAAATTATTTGTTAAATTTAGAGAAATGCGTTTACTGTTTGATTTCTTATTATTTCATTGGCCTAAAGAAACATTAAACCAAAAAGTCCAAGTCCATTGATGTTAAGTTAGTTCCTACTTGTAGTGACCCAGTGGTGTTATGTGTGCCATCAAGAAAGTAGCGGACCCTCTGGTGGATTTTCTGAGGCTGTAAATCACACGGAAGGGTGGCTTTTCCCCACATAGCAGCTGGTAGACTTGAACCGCATGCCTTGGGATTGGCAGTGCAACTTCTTACCACTGTGCCAGCAGAGCGCCTTCTAGAACAGGGCAAAGCCGCCCCGTAGGGTTTCTGAGGCTGTAAATCTTTACAGAAGCAGATTGCCATATCTTTCTCCTGTGGAGCAGCTGGCATTTTGACCTGATAACTCAGTTAATTCACAGTCCAACAACCAGCAGTGGTGTTAAAAGCCAAAAACCCATTGCCATAGAGTTGGAACCAACTCATAGCTGACCCTCTAATGGGTTTCCAGAGACTTGAAATTGCACAAGAGGCGACTGGCCAGCCCTCCAGCTGCTCAGTTCTCCCTGAGAGGTGCTGCACGTAGATTGACATGCCTGCCTTTTGACTTGGTAGGAAGCTTCTGAAAACATTTAAAACAATCCCAGCTACAGATCTGGGCAAGCCATCTGAATCTGCAAGAAGAAGGGGATGCTACGGTAGACTCCGCTGAATGTTCTCTCCGAGTGATTTCCGTCTGCTGTGTGGCATTTCCAGTCTCTTTCCTTAGAAGCAAATGGCTTTCTGAAAACCAGCTTTATGCACGTCTTAAAGAACAATGACAAATAAATCAGTCGTGACAGGCACTTTGAATATCCGATCAATGCTCAAGTGAAGCTTGTGTTAAATTTATTGCCAATCCATTTTAGTGCCTCAGGAGGTTATAATGGGATGACTGGATTATGAATTCTTTTTCCTTTTGTCATATAAATGATAATGATGATGTATCTGGTCACTGGGAACTCTGAGCAGCCAGCCTCCTGTTCCCTCTGGCCCTCCTTTTAACATCTCTTCCTGCTGCTCCAAGGACTTACCTGTGTGGAGCTCAGGCAGCCAGCTTGCTTCACCGTCTCACTTCCTAATAGTGACATGTCCCTGGGAGACTGAGAGGGGGACCAGGGACAACAAGCCCTCAGTTCGGTGATGTAAACCGTTAAGCATTCTGCTGACTGAAAAGAGCGGTGGTGGTTATGTTCTGGGCTGTCAGGTCAAATACGACTCTTAGTGACTCTGTGAATAACAGATTGGACCCCTGCCCTGTTCTGCGTCATGTTCACCATCTCGCTATTCTCGAGCCCGTTGTTACAGGCACAGTGTCGGGCTCCCTTGTTGAATGAAGGTTGTCTTCTCTTGCTCTGATCCTTCACCTTTCCTAGCATTCTGGCTTTTTTCAAGTAACTAGTACCACCTAGAACACGATGGGACTTTTCTGTTCTGTCACATGTGGTCTCTGTGATTCATAGTTGATTGAATGGCACCAAACCACAACAGTACCCTCACACATTAAGTATGTATGTGTGTATTTGCATGCCACTCTCAATGTATAAAATTCATGTATGTAGTTGTTGTTGTGTACTGTTAAGTCGGAACCTCCCCAGAGCTGACCCTCCGGTTTTCAGAGGCAGTTAATCTCACAAGAGGAGATTGTTCTTCCTTCTCCCACAGAGCAGCTGGTGGCCTCGACTGCATGTCAGAATGTACATATATATGTGTGTGCGTGAGCCTGAGTGAATACACACACACTCACAGAGCCATTTAATGTGCACATTTCTGAGAAATCAAGAGGCAAAGTCTGTAGAGGTTAAAGGGCTGGAAGAGCTCTGAGAAGTCTTCTTATCAGGGATAAACCAAGTATGGATGCATCTAGAAGTTGCCCATCGCCCTGACACAAGCTCTTGAAAGGCCTGACCTTAGCTCTGGGCCTGTGCCGTCTAATACAGTGGCCATTGCCCATTTGTGATTCTTGAGCAGTTGAGAGGTGATCAGACCAAACCCAGATGGCCTGGGAGTGTTACAGAGTGAGCCCTGGTGGGGCAGTAGTTAAAAACATTGGGCTGCTAACTAAAAGATCAGTGGTTCGAGCCCACCAGTTGCACCATGGGAAGAAGACCAGGCGGTCTGCTCCATACAGATCACAGCCTCCAAAATACCATGGGACAGTTCTACTCTGTCCTAATGGGGTCACTGTGAGTTAGAGTTAACCTAGTGGCCGTAGGCTGAGTGAGTGTTAAAATAATTCTCAGGATTTCAGATTTAACACAAAACAAAAGATTACTGAGTACCTTTCACAAGGGATTACATGTTGAATTAACAAAATAATTGGATGGATCGAGCTTAAGAAAGTATATTTTTGAATTTAATTTTAGCTTTTTTATGATTTTTCAATGTGGTAATATGTTTTATTCACTTCCTTTAGTTTTCTTGATATCTTGGTTAGGATTGCTTATAGTTCCTTTCTTCTTTTCTTACATGACTATGACAAGATTTAAAGTTGCAGTGGGGCTTGAATGCTATTTCTGTTGGGTACTGTTGGTCTTTATGGGCCATCAAGTCAACACCGAGTCATAACTGATCCTCCAGTGGGTTTTCGGAGGCTGGAAATCCTATAAGAGGAGATTGCCCATCTTTCTCCCATAGCATAGCTTGTGGATTTGAACTGCATGCCTTTGGGTTGGCAGTGCAACTCCTTTACCCCTTAGGCCACCAGAGCTCTCGATCTGTTGACTAGTGCTGATGTATGTAGCCTGCTCGACTTAGGTGGTGCCTGTGGAAGATGTGTTTGAGCAGCTCATCCCATGTTCCAGGAATCTCAAGACTGGGAAGTATTGAAGCCGTGAGGATAAACTGAGACTAGCCTGAGTGAAAAGACTTTCTTTCTCAGAATCTGGAAATCTGGAGACTTGTGAGCGTCTGCTCCACGTGCTGTACCAGCAGCAGGAAGCTTAGCTTACAGGTGGAATGAAGCCCAAATGAATATTTTCTTTGGCATCAGTGGTCCTTTTAAAAAAACATACTTTCTATAAAAACAAACAAACAGCCCAAAACAAAACAAACCCCCCCCCCCATACTTTCTGATATAGTTTCACTTTCTTCCTAACGCTGTAATTATAACCACTTAAAATATTTGTGTTACCTACTGGCAATATTTGGTTGGGTAATATTTATGTTTGCCAAAGACACTTAAGTTTGCATCTTCTGGAGTGGTTTTCCCTGACAATACAGCCAACATTTTTAGTAAAGGAAAAGTTACTAATAACGTACTCCCTACCCAAACTGTAAAAATTAAAATAAAAGGCTATTTCCATATACTTTTCTAAAATGCACTAATTAGCACTATTGTCATGAAAATTTTTCTCTCCCTAAATGTCTTATTACTTTGAAGGATACACATTGGACTTTCATTTTCTTGAAAATTATTGCTTGCTTTCCCCCCCCCCCCCTTTTCACTTAAGATCTTCAGCTGCATGTGATTTCTCTCATTTCAAGAACTGGAATTGAAGGACATTTTTCAGAATTGTTGATGAGCTTAAGAACAATTATGGGTTGTTTTTTGTTTTAATATGGTTGTGGTATTGTTGCGAGTTCACACAGCAAAGCATATGCCAACCCAGCAGTTTCTACATGCAGTTTAGTGCCTCTGAGTCTATTCCACCAGTTTTGCAACCTCTGCCTTTTCTGAGTTGTTCCTCCTTCATTAACATAAATTCATACCCCTCTAAGCCTCCTAGCTAATCTTTTGAGGTTCTCTTGTCAGTTTGATCCCATAAATATAGTTCTTAAAAAAGCATACTCAAAACAAACCTTTTTCACTGTTGTTGTTATGTGCCCTCGAGTAGCTTGCAACTCATAGCGACCCTAGTACAACAGCCCTAAACTCTGCTCTGTCCTGTGCCAATCACACTGTCTCTGACACTTCCATCCCAATTATTCCAGTCACTGAATCAATCCATCTCATAGAGGGCCTTCCCCTCCTGCACTGTCCCTCCACCCTACCAAGCATGGTGTCCCTCTCCAAGGACCCATCCCTCCTGGCAACATGTCCAAAGTATGTTAGATGTAGCCTCAGAATCCTTGCCTCCAGGGAGCCACCCGGTTTAACCCTTTCCAGGATGAATCTGTTTGTTTTCCTAGCAGTCCATGGTACCCTCAATACTCTTCTCTAACACCACAGCTCAAAGGCATCAATTCTCCTTCTGTCCTCCCTAGTCATTGTCCAACTCTCTGATGCCTAACAAGTGATTGCAAAGACCCTGGCCTGTATCAGATGCACCTTAGTCTCCAGAGAGACGCTGTTGCTCTTCAGTACTTTAGAGAGGTCCCTAACAGCAGACTTTCCCATCGCAATGTGTCTTTTAATTTCCTGGCTACAGTAGCCTTTTTCACTAGTTAAATTATTGTTTGGTTTTAAGAAGATTTACAGGATGTTTTTGGATTGAAGATTATTTTAGAACAATAATTCCCAAGGATGTAGCCACTGTCCATGATTCTAGAAAATTTGGAGTACATGAGGATTTTTAAATTCTTTTCCACATTTTCCCCCCTTTTGATCAAGATTTCGCTATAAAATCTTTGACCAACCAATTCCGTTATGGTAGCAGAGCATCCATTTCATTGAAAAAAAAAGGCAATTAGTCACACAATTTATATTCTCCTCCTTTTTCTGACTAACTTTCTTCCTCCATTGTGTCACGCAAATAGAGACTAATTATTGTACCTTGAATGGCTACCCATAAGCTTCTAAGAACTTGAAGACAACTCTTTTTTTGTTTGCTTTATTTTTTTTAATAATTTTAATGAACATTTATAGAGAATTTAGATTTCCATTCATT